TAGTTATGGTGTCGATCGCCCACATTTATTTTGTGTGACTAAACGCACATGTGCTTTGGAGAAAATAATAGGAACCGCCTGCAAAGCAAACTTGAAGTCTTGAACTAGTACAAATATTTACTCTGTAGTTTAAAAAGATAAAATAGTTAGCTGAACAGACAAATATTACTTCTGTATAATTCAGCCTTTCCCCCAAAACTATACTTGCCATTGTCACTATATTATGCTGCTATCCTGTATATATTGTACTATTATTGTCTGAGTACTACGGTTGTTTTATTGTACTTTTTATATTTTACATTTATATTTATTTTGCATTTTGCACCAAGGGAGTGGCACTCCAATTTCGTTGTACTTTGTACAATGACAATAAAGGCTATTCTATTCTATTCTATTCTATTCTAAAATGGTCAAAAATCAAGCATTAACATTAGACATTGACCAAGTACAGTGAGGTCCTTAGGGCTTGTTCTGAATGATTCTCCACACTGTAAGCTGTTGGGTCAGAGTGGTGCATGTTATACAGCTCACACAGACATAAACTAAACTGACACACTCACTAATCTAGCCACCACATGGGTAACAATAACTAAAGATAACTTGCAGCCTTGGTGAGACTCGCCGTTGTCCCGTGAGACAGATTCTGCCTTGTTTACTCTAAAGAGGAATAGAGGGCAGTGTGGAGGATGGGCAACTGAAACAATTGTATTTCTGTGTGAGCTGTTTGTAATTGTTGCCATAGGGCCTCCTCTAGTTTTATGCGTACTTGTGTGTGTCATGTTCGATAATTGGAAATGACATTTTAGACTGTGAGCACATGGTGAACCTTTCTCTCTCCGTCTCCTTTTTGCCAAGGCTTCTCATTTTTTCTGGGGTCTCTGGGCTCTGATTCAGGCCAGATTCTCCACCATCGACTTTGACTTCTTGGGGTAAGTTGCCATCTTTAAATAATCTAGCGAGCACGCTTTTCTTTGAGCCGTTATATCTTGGTGTGGCAAGCACAATTTAGTAACTTAATCACGTTTAAGAACAAAATGTTAAGCATCCACGTGGATATTTCAGGATGTTCTGTTATTTTTGCACTGGCATTTCGTGGTAACATGTCACGTACATATTTATCTCACTGCTGGCACTGCTGCTGTGTGTCTCTACTTTACAATCAGATATGCAGTCCTGCGGTTTAACCAGTATTTCAAGATGAAACCAGAAGCGGCTGCACTAAAATTACCAGAATAAAAGCCCGCACCTCCCTCATCATCATCTCCTCTTCGTCCTCGAACCTGCTCTGCACCTCACACGATGACCTCAGAGTGCCCTCTAGAGGTCCCTGTTGAGAAGAGCCAGACTCTGAGTCCAGTTTAGTGTCTGAAGATCCCCTCTAAAGTCCACATCCATAAAGACTGAATGGGCAATGATAAACACGGTTAATCAGGATAAAGCCCATACTGTCAACATGGGTGTGTGAAGGACCAATTTCAAGATCCGCTATAATGTGAAGTCCACTTGGTTAAATTTATTGTCATTATCAATTCAGTTGATATTTGCATATCAGCTTATTGTATTTATAAGCAGCTCTTCAGATGGCTCAGCTCTGTCTAAGGCAGAGAAGAAGCATCGTGTGAGCCACAGCAAATACATGGAAACTACCAGCATTATTTTTTTGTCTTTCTTTAAAAGTTGTCCAGACATTAATCTGACTGCCTAAACACCTTCCTAATATCACATTCATGGGGAAACCCCCTCAGAAGCAGCCAAGTCATCGACCACATTTATGACAACGGGCAAATAAAGCCTGCTTTATTTGCCAAGGAGCCAAGATAAATGGTAGAAAATGCTAACATGGAAAGGCCAGTCCTGTCTCTGTCCCATGTGATAGGAGCCACGCCACACCAAAAACACTTGAGGTCTGTCTTGTGATTCTTGTTTTCACCCCTATCACCCCCACCCCCTACATTTCCTGTCCATGCATGGGTGGTGCCTAAGAATAGCCATGTAGTAAATGTTTTACTTTGTAAAGGTAGAAAAGGGGGTTTCAGGGGAGCAGCTTGTGTTTACCTCTAAAATCTTCCCTAAATGAAATAGTTGTAGATGATTGAAAAGCCATTTGGTTTGACAGCAGTTCTCACTGTACTTCTAGTTTTGTTACTTTTGACACTTTTGTTAACTTAGGACAAAGATACATTTTACTGTAATTTTTACATTCCACACTTGTAGCGGTAGATTGTAAAATCGGTGGATTTCACGTGGTAAGTTAGCAGCGTCCATCGTGATAGGGAAGGATTTGGAGTCTTCGTCAATATTATGAATCGCCTAAAGCTCCAAGGACTAGGCATTTTGTGAACACGTAGACCGATTCTCATTTAGAGGTGTGTGACGTGGCCTCGCTGGCTGTCAGATTTTTGAAGCACAGTTGGCATTTATCATGTTAAATGATGGATGTTAAATGGTATGGAAAAGTGGTAAAAGAAAGTCAAAATGATTATCTCAGGCTGCCAGTGGAACTTGAAGATAATTTTTAACAGCAATAACTATTGAAGTTGGTAAAGAACTCTTTAAACAAACTGTTTTTAAAAGAATCTTTTAGGAACTTTTATGAAAACTAAGAAAGTGTAGCTCTCGGTGATTTAACAAGCAGACACCAAAGTGCTGATCGCCGTAAACACGTTTAGAAGAAGCTAAGCGTTTCAGATCCCTAAACTGTTTAAATGTGACCATGACCCACCAACTCTTGCAACTGGTTTTTTGTTTACTCCAAAACAAAACCACACGTTTGCAGAGCTCAGTGAAAGCAGTTATTGACACAAAGTTGTCCACTCATACTCATGCAGTTATAAATAGATATAGAAGTGTCAGTCTGCCTTTGTGCCTTTTTTTTTTTTAAGTCTTATTTTTCACTCAAAGCAATGAACTTAAGGATTATTACTCTTCTGTTTTTAATTAAGTGTTGCTTTTTTATGCTGGAGGATTAAGATGGATAGATAATAAAATTCTCCTGTTGGACCTAGGGTAAATTAGAAATTCTTGTCTTTTAACCTGTGACTTATAAACCCAACCATCTACTTGGTGGTAAAGGGTTTTTAATTTGCTGGTTTGGATTGTGCTGAGAGAACATTTCTAAAGGGTCTCTTGGAAAGTTGTTTGGAGTATTAAGATAGTAGACAGACTAAGTGTACAAAAAAATCCATCTGAATAATTAAACTGGATGAGTGCATTTTCACTGTATGTCGAGTAATCTCTCTAGTCTTTTAACTTGAACCACTACATCTTAGAAATGCATTTATATTTAACATTATCGGAGGGGGGAAGGTTAAACTCTGGCCACTGTAGCATATGTTTATATGTATAACTAACGTAATAGCTTTTTTTTCTCATGTGAATATGTGTACATAGAGGGAGGGTTTTTTTCTAAGAAATGAATTAAGGTGGAAAAACTGCTCAATGTAAAGAGTGAAACTGGAAAAACTAAATATGCTTAAAAATAAAGTATATTTACATTTATGTCTGCTTTTGTCTTTTTTTCCCCCTGTGGCTTTAATATTGGACTTTGGGGGGGGGGGGGGTGTATGTAGCAGGTGTCACTGAATTTTCATTTAAAAGTTCATTTTAATTCAAATCTTACAATTTTGACCTTCCCCTTTCTTATGGGTCATATAGAGTGAAACAGCGCCCCTCTACAAACGGTAAGGGAATGTCAGTTAGTCGGACACACTTGGAGAAAATGCTGGAAAGGTTTTTTTTCCTGAAAAGTCGCTTCTCTTTATTTGGTCGTAGCGTTTTCAGGGGGAGAAACACTTGGTCATTCATCCAAGTGACATCAAGCGCTAGCATTTCCAGCACCGGTAATCATTAATTTTGCAGTTTTAATCCCTACTTGCATTTTATTTGCCCCAAAAACGGTTATGTACAAAACGACGGAGAACACGACAGGTCCGTACAAAGACAGACTTGACTTGACTTGAGGAAAAAAATCAAAGGAGTGAAAGGGTCAGTTACATACGAGCTTACAGAGTGGAGTAAGGACGTTAGCGTGCTGCCCAACTTTCATCACGCACATATTTATTATTATGTGGTCCTAAGTGTGAGTTCACACTCACAAAATGTTTAGTAACTTCAGATCCCTGCAACAAGCCCAGGTCCAGTTTACTTTGGTGATTTGGACTATTCCATTTCACAGCTGTTGTTACATTTTTTTTCCTTTTGCGTTGGCCTGTACAGGAGATGATCTATTTGTCGTTTCAGGTTGTAGTATTACACAACATTTTCAGATCTAATAGAAATAAAATGAGTTTCATAATTCATTCCATTTATTGTCTTTATTTATAACTGGCAGTATTGTTTCATTCTATTATAGAATCTTCAAAAAGCAGGAACTCCAGCAACACTTGAGGGAAGATGAACAACTTTAATAATAGACCAACGCGTTTCGGCTTGTGGCCTTCATCAGGGTCATCTGATCTATTATAGAATCTTACAAGAAAGAGGCAAAATTGTATTCCATTATGCTTTATTAGCTGCTTCGGTAAAAAACAAATCAACAATGCAAAAAAACCAACAAAAAACCCCACTGCAAAACAACATACTGGAAAACAGTTATTCATCACTTGATTGCTTCAATACAACCCTTGGGCACATATATGCGGGACTTTCCGTGGCTGTTTTGATATCGCTCTCTCTCTCTAAACCACAGGTGTCGAACTCCAGGGCCCGTATCCCTAAAGAATCTTTGTGCAAAAAGTGGCTCCTAGCGGCCAAATTCTAAGAAAATTCTCAGAGTCGTGACGTTTTCTTAGAATTTCCCCTAAAAGTGACACGACAATCCCAGTTAATATAAAAGCTATTCCTCAAGATTCCTAGCGCTTAAAAGGGCTCCTAATGCGAGATCTGCTAAGAGCAGGGAAGAGGACTTTTAGTGGCTTAGGAGTTCCCCTAAGCAGCTGCACAAAATGGCCAACAGAAGAGGCAGGAGAGATGTCCTGCAAACACTGGATGACAGGGAATTATTGAGACGCTACAGATTGGATCGTGCAGGAATCATGTTTGTGGTGGATCTCCTTAGAGATCACTTCACAAACTCGACGCCACAACGCTATTACACCGGAGACGAAAGTAATCACAACCCTGAGGTATTTGGCAACTGGGAAAATGCAACAATGCAGCAGTGATGACTTGGGTCTGTCCCAATCCTCCATCAGCAGAGTCATCACCCAAACACTGACAGCTTTGTCACAACCTAATATTGTGACACAATTTGTTTCATTCCCGCTGGATGCCCGCACTTTACACACACATAAAAGGGCATTTATGGACATTGCAGGATTCCCTGGCGTTGTGGGTGTAATTGATGGAACACATGTGAGAATAATTGCGCCATCAGAGGACGAGGCTGTCTTTGTTAACAGGAGGAATTTCCACAGCATCAATGTGCAAATAGTGTTCAATGCGGCCTGTAAGATTTTGGACATTGTGGCTAAATGGCCAGGCTCCACACGTGATGCGAGAATGCTCTCCGAGAGTGGCATCAGACAGCTTTTTGAGAGACGCTATGTGCCAGCTAATTGCCACTTGTTAGGGGACAGTGGCTACCCGTGCAAACCATGGCTCCTTACACCTTACCTCCAGCCACGCCAAGGGCCCCAACTAAACTATAACAGGTAAGCCAAACAATACAAAAATCATGGAAATGAAATGCAAGCAATATGTTAGAGCATCCAAGTAGTGCAATATTTCCATCAAATAATTAAAGGTCTCTGTATTCTATTGTAGGGCCCACAAGACGACAAGAGCGGTGGTGGAGCGTGGCATAGGCCAGCTTAAGAGGCGCTTTCATGTTCTCCACGGAGAGGTGCGGCTGAGGCCTGAAAAAGTCAGCAAAGTCATCATAGCCTGTGCAATATTACACAATATTTGCAAGGTTGGACAGATTGCAGAACCTCTGGAGGATGGCGATGAGGATGAAGACAACGATGAGGATGGTGGTGAAGAAGATATTTACATTCCACAGGGGAACCTAGCCCAGAGTGGACTGCCTTACAGGGCAAACTTCACAAATTTACATTTCAGG